CTTGCAAACGTTATGATCCTGTGCTGCCTTGGAGGCAGCGGATACCTCATCTACTTTGTTGTGAAACGTTCTCAGGAGTTTGCTGATAGGAAGAAAGACGATCTCTCATGGTTTGAAAAGAACGAGGCAGGTTGACACTAAACATTAAAATGTTATAATTTCTGTTTAGGCTATGAGTTTTCAGATCATTATTTTATAGAGTTCACAAGGATCTTTGGCGATGTGGGAGAGCTGAGGCTTGAAAATTAGAGTGCAAAATAAGATGAATATTCCCCCTCTCTTGTCTGATGTATCAGGTGGAGTTTGTGATGTCTCTGCTGGGGCTGGTGTGTCCTCCTCTGTTTGAAACAATTGCAGAGTTGGAGGATTACCACCCTCGTATCGCCCTCAAGTGGCAGCTGGGTCGAATCTTTGCCCTCTTCCTGGGAAACCTTTACACCTTCCTCTTTGCCCTGTTTGATGAGGTTACTGCCAAGGTATGATGTATGACCCTGAGGTATTAATACACATTTGGGCTCATTTTTTACCAACGTTCATGGACACTATCTCATGTGATGAGAGTCACTAACCTTCTCTGTGTTTGCTCTGCCTTCTGATATATTATATAAATATTAACAACTTAAGAGCAAAATAGCTACATTTCTGACTGGCCTTTAAAAAACTATATTAATCGTTTCCAGTGTTTGAGCTAATAAGCTAACCAGCTGCTGGCTTTAGCTATATTTAATGTGGTATCAATCTTCTGATGCGACTCTCAAGTAGAAAGTGAGCAGTACTTCCCAATATGGAACAATTCCTTTGAATCAAGGCTGTGAACTGAGTATTTTGTCTGCAAGTTGTTTGACATAAACTTTGCTTTGCCTCGACTGCTCTTTGATGTTCTTTCTTCTCTTTAGCTGGAGAGGGAGAAGACAATCAAGAATGCCACTGAATGGTCTATGAATCTGTACTATGCCAACTACACCTCCCACTTCAACACGACAGACGTGCCTCCTCCAGATGTGAACCCAGCTGACGTCGTTAGAGGACCCTGCTGGGAGACCGGAGTGGGAATAGTCAGTAGTGGCGTTATATACTGTTGTCCTATGGTGAATGAGAAACTGGGGGTGCAGAGTAGCCTAGTTTAACTCCATTTGCAGCATCATTCCTGCACTTCACCCCACTTCAAATCAAACAGAACAGACCTCACATCTGATTTCATTGGTCTATGTTTGTCCTTATTTCCTTTGCTTTTTTTCTCGCTGCCGTCTTTTTCTGTGCAGGAATTTGTGAAGCTAATCGTGTCAGACATGCAAGTGACCTATTTGACCATCCTGATTGGTGATTTCCTGCGAGCTGTCATTGTGCGCTTCCTCAACTACTGCTGGTGCTGGGACCTGGAAGCTGGATTTGTGAGTACTGGCAATGTGTGTCAGTGGGTCTCGGTGTTTCAGTGTAGATTGTAGATTATGTGTGTTTCTTTTTTTTGTTTGTTTTGTTAAAATAAATTAAAGTGTTATTTTCTTTTTACCTATCTATCAAAGCATCACCATTTTGACATCCTGTCGTTAAAACCAGCCTTTACATGAAATTAAGCCTGACATTTGTGCCTCTTGTCTCTGCAGTTATACAGTGTGAATTTCAAGTGGGTGTATCAGTTAAATGAGTGCTCATGTCATCATTGTACAGCGAACATGTCATTCAGCTCTGTGATAGTACAGCACGGTTCCTATTGGAACCGAGTCCACCTGATACCATACCACGACATCTTGCGAGACAGGTGATCCCTAACATTGAGTGAAAGAGGACACTGCAATGAGAACTTAATTACAGAGAGAGAGCGAAACGTAGGCACAGAGAGAGGGGCAAATGCAAAGTTTATCAACCCGTTCTTTGTTCATTTCAGACGAACATGCTGATCATGTTGTTGTGTTTTCTTCCAGCCTTCATATGGAGAGTTTGACATCAGTGGAAACGTGCTGGGGCTTGTCTTCAATCAAGGAATGATATGGTGAATGACTCTACATCTGCATGTTTGATTTTATTTTCTGCCTCTTTTATATATAACAAGAGATTCTCTAATGGGACTTATGGTTGACTAATGAGCTTCTCTCTGATGAAAAACAGCTCATGTTTCTGGTTTCTCCTTGTCTGTCTCCACTCATTAACAAAATACAGAGTGATGAGTGCCTGACTCTTCAAGATGTTTTATTTGTTTGCCTGTTGATATTACACTAATTAGAGGACTCAGATTTATTTAAATGATTAGATCATCTTGTTTTTCCTCAGGATGGGGGCATTTTATGCTCCAGGTCTGGTGGGTATGAATGTTCTGCGCCTCCTGTGCTCCATGTACTACCAGTGCTGGGCAGTGATGGCCTGTAATGTTCCTCATGAGCGAGTTTTCAAGGCCTCACGCTCAAACAACTTCTACATGGGCCTGCTGCTGCTCGTGCTGTTCCTCAGTCTGCTTCCAGTCGTCTACACCATCATGACCTTGCCCCCTTCCTTCGACTGCGGGCCATTCAGGTCAGTAGGACTGAAATTGTTGACTACGAGACAGTGAAATATGAATTAATAGTTCACGGTGAATTCTTCTGCATGTTAAAAGTACTTCAATTTATTAATTAACTGCATCTACCAGAAACAATTTAAAACCTTTAAAGTCAATTTATCCATATGTACTGGTTGTTTTTAGTGTTTTAGGCTCCTGACTTTTTGACACACCAGTAAACCACTTTTTTGAGACAGCAACAACTTGTTTTTTTCACCTGTTTCTGGTTCTGTTCAGTAAAAGAAGGAACATTCCTGTTGGGTTGTAGTGGGATTATCACACCATTCATTTTTCACATTGTTGCAGCCCTAGTAGACATTACACCTGGGCAAAAGGCATTTTTATTTACTTTATTTGTTTATTTGTAAGGGAACATGTACAATATTAAACACAAATGAATGTAGCTTAAAGAGTCAGCATGAAGCTAGTTTTCCTCTGCTGTCCCCTTCAGGTCATACAAGCACATTTGTGCTTAAACATACTAAAATTGTCTTTTTGTCCAAAGATTAGATGCAACAAACAGTTAATTTGGTCCATGTCTTTTCACCAGTGGTCAAGAGAAGATGTATGATGTGGTCATGGAGACTATAGAACAGGATCTTCCATCCTTCATAGGGAACATTTTTACCTATGCCACCAACCCGGGACTCATCATGCCTGCTGTCCTTCTCATGGTGTATGTATCATTTAAATATCCAAAAAAATAATTAGGGAGTGAAATACCATCCCATGTACTGGAGAGGAAGGTAAATGTAAGTAGACATTGAAATAACATAACAAGATTTTTTTCACATTATACATTATGTATTCTTATTGTGTGTAATTGAAGAAAGTAAAGTCATAAAACTTGTCGACTGCCCTGTGGTCTAAGCTGTTGTACTGTTTACAATGGCTTTCACCTAAAAGACTTATAATCCTCTATAACAGGTTGGCCATCTACTACCTGAATGCAGTGTCAAAAGGATACCAACAAGCGAACACGGACCTTAAAAGGAAGATGCAAATGGTTAGTATGAGTGTTTTCTTCTTGTTTCCCTCTTTTTTCAAAAGATTCAATCAAAAAAATGACTGTCTGATTTATTGGTGGACACTTTAGGCTCGAGACGAGGAGAAGAACCGCAGGAACAACAAGGACAGCACTAACCAAGTGATGAAAGACTTGGAGGACTTGCTGCCAGACAAGTCTCTAATACCACCCCCCATCGAGGAAGAGCCACCTTCCCCTGGTAAACCCACACACCTGCATATTCCTTTATTGCACATGCTATCAGCCAATTTGCACCTGACTGTCCTCACCACTCATTTTGCTCTCCATCTGTCATCTCAGATGTCGTAATTGAGAAGGGCAGCAAGTCTCCCAAAACAAAGCCAGGTGCGGCAGGAAAAGGGGTTAATCTGCAAAAGGACGTGTCACTGGCGGCCCCAAACCCCAGAAGGCCAGTGACCCGTGCCCCAAGCCCAAGAGGCGTGCCTCCTCGAAATGCCAGGGGGCCTCAACCTGGGGCGGGCAGAGGAAGAGGTCGCGGCGGGCCTCCGAGGCAATGAGAGACACGGTTCATGGACCAAAACCCAGACGAGACCTACAACTAACAACGAACAACGGGCGTCTGTAAGCATGACTTCTGCAGTCATTGTCATATATACGGAGGACGGATGCACCACTGCGATAACTATAGACTTTTCAGAAATTCATTTGCATGGATAATAATCATTTTCATCAATCATTTATTACATTATTATAGTTTTTTTTACTGCATAACTGAAGTGTTGTAGCTAGTATTTTAAACATGCATTAATTATAATTAACCACAGAAAAAGTCTATGATTACTGCAGTGTAAAGTAAAGACGCAGAAATGACTAGAATTGCCACAGCAAAAATATCAACAAAAACCATGGCACTGTACCTTGTTGTAATACAGATATATAGCAAGAAATGGACATGTTCATGTTAAGTGCACTGAAATCAGATAATGTTTAGTGGTTATCGATATAGGTCAAAAATTTTATTGATTTCATTTTGAAATCCCTGTAAATAGTTTGTAAAATGTCTTTTGTCAATTTTTTTGTATGACACCAATTAAAATATTTCATCTCTGGCAAAGTGCTATTGAAGTTATTACGTCTGAACAGAAACAGGCTCTCTAAACTAACAAACACAAAAGAGACACTGCTATAGAGAACGTACTGATCGCTAAACTGTTAAAGTAAAACATCTGAGATAGTACACTGGGGGAACACAGAAGTCTACATTGTCACAGTAATATCTAGCAACAGAGACGTAACACTGACAGGATATTGAAAAAATAGTGACTATCTCAGCAGAAATGAATGTACATAAAGTGACACAGAATTGACGATGCCTTCAAAAACATCCCAGTGCCATTTGATTATTACAAAACGTCTGAAGCCATAGGGTGGCAGAGAATTTAAAAGGCAGGAAAAAGTCATTCCTGTGATATCACGGTGTTATGAGTTCTTCTGTGAGATTTTGATGGTGACTGCCTTGACCTCTGTGTACTCCTGAAGAGCATATTCTCCCCTAAAATAATAATAATAAAAAAAAAACACAGATTATGCAATGAAAAGGTGCTACATGCCACTTGTGATAGTGTTTCCTCACATTAAATGATCAACATTTACCAGTAAAGTTGCAATGTTAAAAGTGCAGACCTGTATGTAGATGTGTGGTGGACATAAATACAGCACGTATAAAGGGTTACTGCCCGAAAGTTTATACTCACAGTTCCCTCCCATTGCCAGACATCTTGAAGCCACCAAATGGACACTGAGCGCTCATGGCATTGTAGCAGTTCACCCTAGAAAAAAAACCCCCAGCTCATTACATAACAGTTAATCTACCAAAGGCATGCATTATGCATTGATATGATATCTAATATGATTCTAATATAACTTTAAGGAAAGTTTTCTTTGATGATTTGCATGACACTCAACATTAACTGTAAGAGCTAAACTGAAGAGGATTTGATCCGTACCACACCATGCCAGCCTGCAGAGCAGAGGAGACTGTCAGGGCTTTGTCAATGTCGTTGGTAAACACTCCTGCTGCCAGGCCGTAGTGTGTGGCGTTGGCTCTCTGGATGACTTCGTGGATGCTACGGAAACACATGATCTGCTGCACTGGACCAAAAATCTGAGCGGGTGCGAGTACAGGGATGAAGGTGTTATACGAGGAGGAAATTCAGAGCACAGTGTTCAAATGAGGACACAAATAATCTGTGTGTTTGTCATGCGCACCATCGAGCGTGGTTGTGTATGTGCAGATGTGTTTGAGAGCAGAGTACCTCTTCTTTGGCGATACGCATATCATCTGTGACATTTGAGAAGACGGTGGGTTGGATGAAAAGTCCCTGCTGACCCCATGGGGACCCCCCACATTCCAGCGTGGCTCCCTCCCTCTTCCCACTCTCTATCAGCTCCATTATCTTATCAAACTGCTTGTGGTCAATCTACAGAAAAAAGCAACCAGCAGCTCAAATTATTTTCTCTTTGTGTGTTTGGGTTTTTTTTGCTTCCTGACCTGTTACCTGTATCAGTTGTCAAATAAATAGGGTTCTTGTATACCTGTGGCCCTTGATCCACCCCTGGCAGCAGTGGGTTTCCCAGGACTTTGGATCTGGCTCTCTCTACACTGCGACGGACAAACTCCTCATAGATTGGTTCCTCCACAAACACCCTGGATCCAGCCAGACAGCACTGGCCCTGGTTAAAGAACAGACCACTGTGGGCCTGCTCCACTGCGTACTCTACTGCAAGACAGACACATACTCTAGTCTAAAATGCTGCAGCTAGATTACTGACAGGCAGTAAGAAGGGTTAATATAGTATCACCCCTGTTTGAGATTCAATTTTTACCAGTGACATTTAAAACCGTTTAAAGGACATAATTTGGAGTTGCTTGCACACTCCATGTTCTGATTACTTGAATTTTATTCTGTGTATTTCATGTCCGTTGATTTGTCACACCTTTACTTTTACATTGAGTAGTTTTAAAACATTTTGCTCTCGTCAACAGTGCATAGAATAAAGCAATCTCTTCAGTGACACTCAGTGTATGTACGCTGTAACACATGCTGAAGGTAGAAAAAGAACAATATATTTAAAAAGCAACTAATCAAGCAAGTAATCAAGTAACTGTTGAAAAGAAAAATACTCACAGTCACAGTCTGCAAAGACAATATTTGGATTTTTGCCACCGAGTTCTAGTGTAACTCTTTTCAGATTGCTGTCCCCTGCTGCCTTCTGGATGAGTTTCCCAACCTGGCAACCAGGGACAACAGTGTGAGATCAGTAAATAGGATCAAAGGACACTAAAACACTAGAAGAAGTACAAGAAGAGAAGAGAAGCGAAGAGAAGAGAAGAGAAGAGAAGAGAAGAGAAGAGAAAAGAAGAGAAGAGAAAAGAAGAGAAGAGAAGAGAAGATTTCAGTAGATACTAACAGCAGTAGATCCAGTGAAGGCTATTTTGTCTATGTCCATGTGGTGGGAAATGGCACAGCCTGCTGTCTGACCATAACCTGGCACCACATTCACCACACCTGGAGGAAACCCGGCCTGGACCCAGAGAGACGGAGGGAAAGATATAATAAACAGCCTAAACTACACATGCTCAGCTTTAACTGAGACATAATCTTAGAGCAGTCTTTCTACTTTTACAGCCACGTAGGCCTCGACAGTGTCTGAATGCAAGTTTATGGCTTTTGTCCACATGTTCTTTGTTCTTATATCATTGTTGGGGGAAAAAAGTAACAATCCAAGTACCTCTTTTATGAGTGCGGCCATGTGCAGGGCTGATAATGGGGTCTGTTCAGCAGGTTTGATGACTACAGTGTTCCCACAGCACAGAGCAGGAGCAATCTTCCACGCAAACATCATCAACGGGAAGTTCCACTGTCGGCCGAAATGCACAGACATGTTTGAGTTTCAACAACATGGGGAAAATTACTAAATTCTTGGTTAGTATAATTCATATTTAATAAGCATTAAAATACATGAGGGTGTGATACAGCCAGACTCAATCAATTAAACTGATTTAAGGTGAAAGAAGTTTGACCATGTTGCCAGATTTCTTCAGATTTTCTTCTCTGTTGTTAAACTGACACGGGTAGAGATCACATTATTGTTAGTACAAAATATTCTAACCAGAAATGTAAATATCTTGATGCTATGCTCACACTTGCAACGTTTCATCTAGACTGGTAAGTAAACAGCTGTTAATGCTAACGCTGGCTATGCAGCAAGAACAAAACTTACAAATAGGTCCTTTAAGTGTATGACTCTCTAGTGTTGGACAGAATTATTTTATCTACTCACAGGAATAATCTGTCCACAGACTCCAATGGGCTCATGTCGTGTGTAAGTAAAGTACTCTCCATCTAAAAAAAACACAACAAAACAATAGCTGTCAAACATGGCAGTATCTCCGTCTATATGTAAAGTTGTGAGGAGTGTTGAAAAGAGGGGAACTCGCCTACTGGGATGGTTTTGCCGTGAATCTTGTCGGCCCAGCCACCATAATATCTCAAGGTTTTGATTGTGGCCATCAGATCTACAAAATATGCCATGAGAAACACTTTGCCAGAGTCCAGGGCCTCTAGGGTCTAGAAATAGAAAAACATAGTAATTATTATTCAAGTGCCATTACTCAATTGCATTAAACCACTTCAAACCTAAATTTTGGGAAGCAATATTCAAACTGAGGATTTATTGTGTGTGTATGTGTGTGTGTGTGTGTGTGTGTGTGTGTGTGTGTGTGTGTGTGTGTGTGTGTGTGTGTGTGTGTTTCTCACTGCCAGTAGCAGCCGGTCTCTCTCCACTAAGTCAGCAAGTCTACTAAGTAGATGACCTCGGTCTGAGGCGTCCATGGATCGCCATGGTGACCCCATCTGGAAGGCGGCTCGGGCACTCCTCACTGCCTTGTCCACATCTTCCTACAAGAGAAGGCACACTTTGAGGTAGTGGTCATAAAAGTCAACTCAAGTCAGTTTCAGTTTTATAGACCAATATCTCAAATCACAATTTTGCCTCAAAGGGCTTTACAATCTGTATTTGACACCCTGCATCCTCGGACCCTGGATTCGGATAAGGAAAAACTCCACCCAAAGCCAGAGGGTCCCTCTTGCAGGATGGAAAATGCTACAGACTCAAACAACTGTATAAAATAACATAAGATGGTACAATGCACTTTCTCCACCAGCTTCATTATCCAATTCTTGCGGGTACAGAGGTAAAAAGCCCATCTAATTTACTGGTGATGTATAATATACTCACTGCATCAGCCTCCTCCACTTCACACAGCAGCTCTCCTGTGGCGGGATTATACACAGGAATCTTTCTGCCGCTGCATGACTCATGCCACTCGTTACTGATGAACAACTGAGATACCAGAGGAGAAGTAAAGAGCAGTAATACACAAAGAAACGGCACAGATAAATTTTTTTCCTTCAAGTAGTATCTCCTCTGCTTATTGTCTCAAAGCAGATCAAAGACGGTCCTGAGCACATGGTGAAGCGTATCAGCTCTTCTCAGCCTGATGAAATTAATAACAGGCTCCCTGGATTTAGTGGGAGTCATTTTGCCTGCTCTGATATTTTTATGAGGTGCATCTGCATGCTGTAAAGCACGTAGAGTATTTTCAGGTAACTGCCTTCATCAGTACCTGAACTGATAAAGGACCCGTAATTATTTTCCCATATTCATCTTGTTTCATCTCGTAAAAACCACATTTTCCTTCTCGTCTAATTACAAGCAGACACAGCTTATTTCAGTTTGGACACAAACCATAAATACTAAATTACTACATCACTGGTACACAATCCAATATTAAAGGGCAACTGAACCAATTATGAACAGGTTGATTCACCCAAATTCAGACCAGATGATAAGACTCACAACCCGCCTGGTAACAAAGCAACACAGTTAGAAAATTGACCACTGAGACACATGGGAAATGTTAGGATGAGGATAAAAGGAAAATATCAAAACCTGCAGTTTTTAATATCAAATCAGAATTGTAATTAAAACTTGACTGCCTAATATAAAACACCTACACAGATCCCTCTGCAGTGGATTTTTCTGCACACAGTGTCCCATTAATGACTGAGAAAGCCAAACCCTACATATGTGGTTGATTTACATTTTCTATAATTAGATCCTAAATCCGAGTGTCTTATTGGTAAACTATATGGAACTCTGACTTTTTATTATGAGCTAAATTTCCCTCCAGGAACAAATAAATCTGGTCCAAACTGGAGCTTGGATCATTCCTCACATTTGGTTCAGTCTTTGACCCTTGACTGCCCGGCACAGCTTACCTTTGTGTATTGTATTGGGGGGTCTGGGACCGGCATGGGCAGGGCCTGCGCCTCAGGTTCATCTACATGCTGTGATTTGTGGTTCTGGTTTGGACCCTGGTGGTTGCACCCGTTACCAGCGTGCTGCTGGTGGCAATTGTCAGGCTTGGAGTTCATGTTTGCATGTTTTCCCTCTGAAAAAGACACAAATGGAAGCCGGTGTCCACCCGAGCGTGTTTGAGTGTTTATCCATATACTGTACTGCATGTGTGTGGGACCTCTTGATTGTGAAAGCTAATATCTGGATCACTGAGTGAGAATAGTTCCTTTCGTGTTTTGTCATAACCCTGTGCATGAGATGCCATCCCAACCCAGTGGAGTAACAGAAACTGTGCCAAATGAGCTACTGGCATTGTCAGCAGGGTAACACCACAGGGTCAAGGGTTATGACTGGCACCGTAAAGTCGGGCTGGCTCTGAGCGGTGGGTTGGACTGACCTCATTTGATCAGAGGGGATCAGAGAACAGCAGGATGCAGGCCGGACCAAAAACTACCAGAGGTGTGCTTCATCACATTTGCCGAAAAAACTGAAAGCTTTGATCACAAATGGGCTCAATTTAAGAAACAATGAAGATCTGCATTATATAAAATGGATGATTAAGAATATTCCACTTTACATACACAGATACTCACAACTACGTTTAATCCCGCACACAAATTCACAGCAAACATAAACATATTGCTCATTATCTACAAATATTTTGTTTTGTTTCACAAAAAATACCACTAATCTAACCTGCACTTAGCATTTCAGAGCTGAGATGCAATCGATTAGGCAATTGACAAAATATAAAATAATATAAACAATATATTTTTAATATTGATCGATCATTTGAGTCACTTTTCAAGCAAAAATGCCAAACATTTTCTATTTCCAACTTTTTTCTGTTTGAGTGTTTTCTGTGTTTGTCTGTTTTAAATTGATTATTGAATATTTTTTGACAAAACAAGGACTTTGAAAATGTCAGTTTAAGTAATATTCTGACATTATGTCGACAAACCAGTTTATCAGTTCATTGAGAAAAAAAATCAACACAGGCTATCACACTGACTAATTATCAAAAATCAACTAAATGGATTAAATTTGGAAAATAACTGAAGAGGAATTAGTATAGTCTTTCACTATAAAACTAAAATGTTTTAAGGTTGTAAAGCTTTACCATTCCGAAGTATGAGAAGTTCTGTTACCTGTGGGTGATGCTGATGAGGTGCCTTCAGCTTGGTGCACTCCTACTCCGGTCACCGGCATGTCGCCGCTTCTCTCCGGTTCCTCTCTCTCCGCCGAGCAGCTTTATATACCTGCAGCTGTCAGCGCTAGAAAACAGGAAACGGCAGCATTACGCACCGGGAGTTCTCTCTGGTCCTCCGAGGGTCTCCCCTGCACGCGCTTATCACCGCTCAGTCGGAAGCGGTTTACCCCACGTGCCCTTGTGAGGCAGGCGCGCGCATGATGATGTGACCGTGAAACACAGTAAGGTGGTAAGGTGAAGTTTTTAAATATTAGCCTAACAAAATATGTATTTTTCATATATATTGTGTATATTTGATGTGTAACAAGCAGTCAGTAAAACTTAACCTACATTTAGTCAAGTAGCCCCACCATACTTAAGTACAGTTTTGAGGTACTTTAATTTGAATGTTTCCATTAAACGCAACTTCATACAGTACTTATATTCAACTATATTTAGAAAAGAAATTTAAATTTACTGCACAGTTTATCTGACAGCTAGAGTTAGCCTAGTGTTTACTTTGCTGATAAAACTTTTCAGCTATGGTAGCTACATTCCTAAACAGATTAAAATTTTAAAATTAGCACCCTCAAACTGCAACAGTAAAATGCTGCTTTCACATTGTTGTACTAGTAGCCAAACAATAAACCAATGATAAATTAACAATATAACAATCACAGAGGCTGTCTCCATGACAAATACTTTTATTTTTGACACTTGAAGAACATTATCAATGACATTATCTTCATCTGTCTATCTGTGCTCTAATTTACTATTGAGATAACCTACACCTGTATAAACATGAACTTTTTATGCTGCAAATCAAGGCAACCACAAGCTGTGTTCAGTCAAGTGAGGGCCACTTGCTGTATTACTTCTGTTGTCTATGAATCAATTCAGCCAAACTGCCTGGATAGACCCATCTACAACACAGCAAACATAATTGGGAAGATGTTTGCTTTGATAAGGGGCCTCCTGCTGCTTCACTGTCTCCCAGGAACAATGTGATCACATAACTTTGTCTGATGCGCCTATTTTGGTCTAGAAATACACACATCCCTTTGAGAAATATCCCCCGGGACAACACAACCTCTATAATTAACCCTTGTTAAACAATGAAAAGATCAGCAGAACTGCATTTAGGGAATGTGCAAAAACACAGTGGAAACCATCTTCCCATACTAATGTATGCGGCCTGACATTTAGTTAACTTGAAGCTTGTACTGTGAAGGCAAAGTTTTTGCCTGGTATTTATCATTGTTAAATATTAATATCATTTAGCAGTAGTAGCAGTCTGTATATGTTGAGCACATGCATATGCTCATTCAAGTATTTTGAGTCATGTATGAGCGTTAGGTCAGTAACCCTGGTCTTAATGTTTGAATATAAGCAACACAATCTCCTTCTAGACACTTCACCATCTAGTCTGGCTCCACAGAGTCAGTGTGTCTTGGCTCTGTCTGCCATAGTTAATGACATGACTGGACCGCCTCGGCCTGGAGAGGAGTTGGACTACTAGGTCAAAGGAGCTGTCGCTCGGCCTGACAGCACCGGGTGTCCCACAGTTGAGCATGAGCTAAATTGACAGTTCGATGGAGAGTGAGAAAGAAAGGAGAATGAAAGGAATGAAAGATGGAGAGTGAAAGACAGTGAGAGAACTGGGCATGAGGATGTAATGTAGGCATGGATGAAGATAGCGAAAATAAGGTATGAGGGCACAAGGGAAAAGGTTGGAAATAAAGGAGAGAATATAAGAGAGAAACAAGGGACTTTAATAATCTATTAGAGGCCACAAGGTAAATATTACAAATGATAAAAAGTAAAAATGAAGGCTGCTTGAATGAAAGGGAAATGTTATTAAATGAAATTATTATACTGATAGACCTGGCGGTATGACAGTATCATGTATGATACGTATACATATCATTACTACCATGACTAGTTGATATGCAGCCCGAGAGCATGAACTGCAGGCTGCAGTCAAACTGCAGGGACATGAAGTCAACCCTAGCAGACGGAGAGCGTCCCCTTGTGACACAATATGGCAATTACACTGTTCATAAAACTGCTGGGGTCTGTGAACCAGTGATGGAGGAAACACTCAGGTGCTTTCCTGAAGTAAAAGTTTTAATATCACAGGGTTAAAAGTCCCATTTTCAAAGGTCAGGTACCTAAAACCACAGATATATATCCAGCAACACTTTTAAAACTTACTTTAAAGTGTCAAAAGTGCTGTAAGAGTGGCCAAGAGTTTACAGGGATGTTTCCCTATTTGCATTGCTCCATAATAGCAATTCAGACATAACTATATATTTCACTAACAATGGATTCATGTAAATTCCCCTTTCCTTGCAAAACACAAAAGTAAATTTACATATTTTAATTTCATTTAGAGATTGGCTAAAAAAAAACAAAATATACTTGCACATGAGCTATAAACTACCTTGCTTCACAATGTATGAATCAGTGGATGGCTGTGGTACATTTGCAGGATGCTCATCGGCAGTATTTGTTTTCTTGGCTTTTTTTTCCATCCCTTTATATTTTAAAACACATTTCACAACATTTAAGTCCTTGAAAATTATTTTTAAACCTATACACTGTAAAAAACAGTCTCCAACTTTGTTAGGGACAGAAGAAACAGGAGGGGAGGGGCCCATGTTGTGAATGGTTCCGGTCGGCGGTCAAATGGGCCGATACGGTCACTGTCTGGCCGGACTCGTCCTAAACCCTGAGCCAAGTTTCTCGCCATGTGTGCCTCTCTATTGTGAGCGGGCAGCAGCTCCCTCTGCAGGGGGCCCAGCTGCTGCTGAAAGGGACGTCCCGGACTGTGAGCTACTCTCACTAAGTTCCCCAGGATCGGACCTCAAAGTTCTGCCTGCTGAGGGATTTTGTCTCTGCTTTGCTCTCTGTCATCTGAGTCTGGCTCTCTACTTCTTGTTTTTACTCCAGAGTTACAGAGGACACTGCAAGGTGAGTTTTCTAACAAAACTGTTTCCCATATTTTGTTCTTTCTTATATATGTGTTTGTTTTTTTTTCTTTGTTTTTCTTCTTTCTTTTAATAGCTTTCTTACTTACTTTCTGTGAAAAAATATTTATATTTTTAGCACTCTTCACAATTTTTTGACATAGATTAATTTAATAAGGGTCTATTTTTTTCTTTCTTATACATAAGTTTTCACTTTCACTCTCCATGTCTCAGTATCTTTGCAGTTTACCGGGCAAGATGAGACTGACGTTTGGGACTCTGCCCATCAAGGAGAACTCTTGTGCTTCTCTGTCTGGTGTCACTATTGGTCTGTGTCTTCTCACCCTCCTCCTAATGGCCCTCAGGGGCCGAAAGAGCCATCACGCCTCCCAACTGGACCGTACAAAATATCCCCCTCCTCCTGGCCCTACACCGTGGCCCCTTGTTGGCAATCTCCTCCAAATGGGGGACCAGATTCATCTTTCTCTAACCCATTTGAGGCTCCAGTACGGTGATGTTTTCAAGGTATATACAGTCAAATGTGAAATATTTTAGATGGGCAAAGGATTTTAAGAATTTTCTTTCATTCAGTCATTTGTTCATTCCTTCACCACAGATGCGTCTGGGCTCTTTGACTGTTGTGGTCCTGAGTGGATACACCACCATCAGACAGGCACTGGTTCGGCAGGGGGAAGCTTTTGCTGGGCGGCCTGACCTTTTCACCTTTTCTGCTGTAGCCAACGGGACCAGTATGACCTTCAGTGAGAAGTATGGACCGGTCTGGATGCTCCACAAGAAGCTG